CCCCCTCTTCTGCCCCCGGAATATGGATGTGGTGACTGGATCTCCAGCAGCTGTCTTTGCCCCTGTCTTAGGAACAGGGGCAAAACCTAGCAACAGTGGATCAAAAAATGGAGGAGTCTGGGTCGCAGTAGACTGCAAAATTCTGGTCTGCTTAGTCCACACTAGTATGCGAGTGAGAAATAAATATCTATTGTATTAATTCAGGTCTCTCAGATATAGCAGCTGTGTAATTATTAACTGAGACAAGTACTTATTAATTACAGGTATAAAAACCTATGTAGCAACCTAGTTGGTGTGGCTCAGTGGTTAAGCATCAACTTATGAGCACTTAATGAGCAGGAGTTGCAATTCCATTCCTGGTTGGGACATGTGCCCAGGCTGTGGGCTCCATTCCCAGTAGTGGGTGTGCAGGAGGCAGCCGATCAAATATTTTCTCTCATCACTGATGTTTCTATCTCTCTCTCCCTTCCTCTCTGAAATCAATAAAAAAAATATATACATTTTTTTAAAAAAAGCAAAAGCTACATAGCAGAGGGGTTACATGCTCAGCCTCTAAGCTTCAGTACCTGGATCTGAAGCCCAGCTCTGCCACTTACTATGTGACCTCGAACGAGATTCTTCACCTCTCTAGGCCTCTGCTTCCTCCACTATTAAAATGGGGCTAACACCGCCTACCTTGTAGAGTTGTTTATAAGCATTAAATACACTGATACATACATATGCAATGACATTCGGAATGAAGACAGGTACATACTCAGTAAGTACAAGTGTTAGCTATTATTGTTATTATTTTCCTCATAGGAAAAAGCCATACAATAAACTTTGGGATGGAAAAACACTACAAGGGAATTGTGATGTGGGTAGGGTGCCTCTCTGCTGAGCCCCAAACCACACCAAGGGGCAGGATCAGGCTCGGGCACGTTTCTCTGCCTGTAGAAGCCAATGGAGCCCTGGGGCCTGGGGTCTCAGGAGCTATGGCCCATCTGAGCCGCCTGCTGCCTCCCCAAGAAGCCCCAGATGCACATGGCTGGGGAAGGCAAGGTCTAGCACCGACACTCTCCGGGGACTCCTCTGCCCGAGAGGCTGCCATTTGAGTGCATACACCCAGGAGAATGTGGAGCAGGGACGCCCCTGGCTTAATGTGTGGCCTGTGGGGGGAGTCCCGGCCCCTCCGGTCTTCTGTGTCCCCTGTAAATGAGGGAGACCAGACCAGACCTTTCTAGGATTCCAGATCTCTGCGTCCTGAGGAACATAAAAACATGTGTGTACTCGTGCACCCACAGTTTTGGGGCCCACTCAGAGGCCTTGTGGACATTGTCCTCCACCCCAGCATCCCAGGCCACGAAGCCCCCCAGAGCATCCCAGGCCCACAGGGGACCACCTTTCAGAGTAAGCAAATAAAAGAGCCTTTAAATCTCTCCCACCCTAAATAGACATTCCTTCCAGAGGCTCAGAAAAAAACTTATTCGATTTATGAAGACACAGTGAGAACTCTCCTTCCCATCCCATTCATTTATCCACCCAGCTCCCAGCTCCAGGTAGGCACTGGTGTCATTTGGGGATGTGCTAAGAACCCTGGAGACTACCCTCAGAAAAGGCCATTTCAATGCAATGCGCTGGAAGTTTCAGGGAGCCACAGCCCCCTTAAAACAAAGCCTGATCCCATTTTAAAACTCCAGGAGAGACTCTGAACTGATGTTCGAGGCTGCCTGGTTCTAAGAAAGGAAATTAGCCTGCACCGTGGCTGGATGAGAAATGCCTATCTAAAGGGAGTTCCTTTATGTGCCGATGTGGAAAGATTTCTAAGATACATTGCTAATGAAAAAAATCAAGGTGCAGAACTGTACAAAATAGGCTGCCTCATGTACAAATGAAGGGAAAGATAAAAATAAGCTCTATTCATAGCTGCTTAAAGCATGAAAGAAACTAACTGATACAGAAGAAAATGCCAAGTCCTTGTTGGACTTGGGGGGAGGAGAGGAACAGGGGGGAGGAGGGACAGGGCTCCACAGTTGGAGAAGGGTGGGGTGCAGGTCAGGAAAGACGGGTGAGTGTCCTGGCAGCAGAGTGAAGTTTCTCTCCTGAGCAGCTTCTCTGTCCTGTGTGACCCTCTCAGAGGCAGGTCTGCCCCCACCAGCAGGTGATCTGGGACTGCATCGCGGCTTGTGGACTACCTTTTCAACTGTTTCTCTTTCTATGTTCTAAGGCACCTGTGTCAAACACAAGGCCCGCGGGCCAAATCCGTCCCGCCAGGCCTTGCAATGTGGCCCGCACCGCGCTGTCATCACTGCACTCCGCTGCGTTTCCATCACAATGACAGTTTATGACTGTTCAGTAAACCATTCGGCCCGCGATTTAGGCTGGATCTTAGATTTTGGCCCCTTCTCTGATTGAGTTCGACACCCCTATTCTAAGGTTTTATAAACAGTAAACAAAAGCAATCATGCCCAGGTTTGAGCATGTGCCAGCTCCTATGCCCCCAGCTGATATGGGTTTTCATGGAATTCTTTTCTTTTTCAGACATTTTTGTTGATTTTTAGAGAGAAGGGGAGGGGGAGAAACGTAAATGTGAGCGCAGAACATAGGTCAAAGCAGAACAGCAATCTGCTGCCTCCTGCATGACCCTTACCAAGGATGGAGCGCCCAAGCCGGGCATGAGCCCTGACCCGGAATCAGACCGGCAACCGTGCAGCGCACAGGATGATGCCCAAGGGAGCCCCAGGCGAGGGATCTCTTGGGAGCCGCCAGGAGTCCTCTCTGAGGTAGAAACTCGGGCATCAGAGGGGCGACCACCTGACCAGGTCACACAGCTCAGAGGTTGGGTGGGGGCTCTTAGACACAGTCTACGCTACCTGCCCTCCTCCCCAAATTTCAGTAGCTGATCTACTTTGGACAAGCAGGCTGCTGCCAATCTTCTCTATTTTGAATAACTCTGTCTGTGAGAATCCTTCTATAATCTCATTTAAGGCCAATTGCAGGTATGCGTTAATAGGAGGACCACCAATATGTTACGCTTCTTTATCACCTTTTTCTTTATGCTCTTCTGTGTTGTTCGAATTGTTTAATTTTGTACAATAAGCACGTATTAGTTACAGTTTTTTTCTTTGGGGAACGGGGGGGGGGGGGGGGGGGCAGATGACATGGAAGTAATGAGATGCTGCTCCCCCTGAACCACTATTCCATTCTTCCTCAGAAACAGAACTCAGTTTCCCAAAATAAAGACCACCCCTTGCATCTGGTCACAGCCAGGTGGGAATGTTCTAGCCAAGAGGATGACTGCTTCAAACAATTACATCCTGTGGCCCCTTATAGCCAATAAGGGGGAGAACTGGCTGCCTGACTGTGTGGCCTCGTTTCTTGACCATTTTGCTAAAATACCTCTCCACCCAAAACCGGTTTGGCTCAGTGGATAAAGCATTGGCCTGTGGACTGAAAGGTCCCAGGTTCGATTCCGGTGAAGGACAGGTACCTTGGTTTTGGGCACATCCCCAGTTGGGGATGTGCAGGAGGCAGCTGATCGATGACTCTCTCTCATCGATGTTTCTAACTCTCTATCCCTCTCCCTTCCTCTCTGTAAAAAATCAATAAAATATATTTTTGAAAAATAAAATACCTCTCCAGAAAAAGAAATGCCCATTCTGCAGATCCACCCAGTATCTCTCCAGGCCTCAGAGGTGGGGCTTGGAGAAGGCATATGAATCCACATGTAAATGGATCACCAGCAACCAGTCGCAAAAAGATGGACCGGTATGACTCCACTTAAATGAGGTCCTAAGAGCAGTCAAATTCAGAGATGGAAAGGAGAAAGGTGGATGCCAAGGGAAATGAGGAGTTAGTATTTAAGGGGGACAGAGTTTCAGTTTGGGAAGAGGGAAAAGTTGTGGAGGTGAATGGTAGTGATGGTTGAACAACAATGTCAATGTAATTAATGCCACTGAACGTTACATTTAGAAATAGTTAAAGTGGTAAGTTACATGTAATGTGTATGTTGTGTCTGAATTGCATCCCCATATCATATGTCAAGTCATAACCCTCAGTACCTCAGTGACTGTATCTGCAGATAGGGCTAAGAGAGGCCACAGGGTGAGCCCCAATCCAATAGGACTGGTGTCCTTATAAGAAGAGATTTAAAAAAGAATAAGAAAAACAGAAATGCAAAAAAGCAGAGGAGATGAGGACACAGGCACCCACGGAGGAAGGGCCACGTGAAGGTGCCCCAAGGCAGGCGTCTACAAGCCAAGAAGAGACTCTCAGGAGACACCAGACAGGCCCTGGATCTCGGACTTCTGGCCTCCAGAGATGTGAGAAGTTAATTTCTGTTGTGTAAGTCACCCTATTAGTGCTATTTGTTAGAGCAGCCCTAGAATATTAATAATGTGGTATAGTTTACCACATTATTAAGAAGAAAAATACAGCTCCCACCAATATAGAAAATATACAAGGCAGGCAGTGTCATCCTCGAGGATTCTTTCCTTTCTTTTTTTTTCTTTTTTTTAAATATATATATATATTTTTTTTTTATTGATTTTTTTACAGAGAGGAGGAGCGAGGGATAGAGAGCTAGAAACGTCGATGAGAGAGAAACATCGACCAGCTGCCTCTTGCACACCCCCTACTGGGGATGTGCCCACAACCAAAGTACATGCCCTTGACCAGAATCGAACCTGGGACCTTTCAGTCCGCAGACCGATGCTTTATCCACTGAGCCAAACCGGTTTTGGCGGATTCTTTCCTTTCATTTGCACTATTTTCCACGAACAAAAGCACACCATGGCCGGCCGGTGCAGCTCAGTGCTTGAGCATGGACCCGTGTACCAGGAGGCAGCCGGCTCGATTGTTGGGTCCCGGGCTTGATCCCGATGAGAGGCATGCAGCAGGCAGCCAATGGATATTGATGTTTCTCTCTCATCGATGTTTCAATCTCCCTCTCCCTTCCTCCTTCTATCTAAAAACAATAAAAACATACTAAAAGATAAAAAGGCAAACTGGCATGTGCTTACCTGAACAGGACGCCTTTGAGGACCTGCCAGGCGTTGGCTGCTGGCTGGGGTGGGTTCTGGGGCTGGGTCTCCGTTGGCGGGTCCCCCCCGATGCTGCCATTGCTGGTCACCTGCAGGAGACGGAGACCAGGATAAGGAGGGAGAAAGCAACCTGCATGGGGATGAACACAGAGGGGGCACCTGGTCCAGGGGTCAGGGAGAGCTTCCTGGAAGAGGGACATCAGCGCCGAGATCTAAAATACAAGTGGCCAGTGCAGAGGAGACAATGAGGGAAGCATCAGGCACAGAAACAAAGGTGGTGAGAGACAGTCTGACTCTGAGGACTGTCCACTGCTCCCTGGGGCCGGGGCAGGTATGGGTTAACAGGATAACCACCAATGTTACACTTCATATTGTGTAAGGTGACTGTGAGGAACAATGCAGAAGGGGTCACATGGTCGATGCACCCATGGGTTTATCTGAATAGTTCCTTCGGTCTCCCCTGTGGCTGGCCCTGTACAGGGCCCATCCCTTCAGGAGCTCCTGAAACAGCAGGAGACAGAAAAGCACAACCAGAGCATGAAGAACAGTGCACACACCCTGCGGGCCGGAACCTCGAGCACCTCATGCAGGCGAACGGAGGCCTGGGCAGGCTAAGCCACTTGTCTGTCCCAGGAAGGACAGCAGCAGGATGAGGGAGGGTAGGCAGGCCAGCGAGTCAAGCAGGGCTTCCCACAGGAACCTTCCCTCGGAAAGAGCAGCTCAGAAGCAGACCCTTTCATGTCAAAATGGAGACACTTCCCAGCCCTGTCCTGGAACCTGCCACCTTCCCAGTCCTGCCTCTTCGTTCCTCCGAGCTCCGTCCCCTCACCCCTCAAGAGGCCGGACCGGGACTGCCATGGGCACCAGCAGGCGGAAGCATCACCCAGCCCCGGGCGGGCAGAGCAGGGGCTCAACAAATCCCTGTGGAATCAACAAATGCTCCCTGCAGGGCTTGCCCCCAGCACCAGGCCACCCAAATCCACCCCCTCCAGGGGCCCCCAATGCCCAGCCCCCACCCCCGCCCTCCCCCCCTCCACACACTGCCCCAAGCCCACTCCTCTGCAATGTCTTCTTCTCTCAGCCTCGAAAGCCCTGGAGAGCAGGGACAGAGGCCCCTGGCCAGATGGGCTGCCCGGGAGCTGAGGCCAGTGTTTGCTAAAGGTGCCGTTTGTCACTCCCTGTCACTTCAGCAAGTGCTTTTCCCCGTCGTCTCCCAAAGTGAGACAGCACCGAGGTGAGAGGCGGCTGGACAGACGCAGGCTGCAGGCCTTATCCCGTCATTCCTGGCGGTGAGATCTTAGACCATCCCTTCCCATCTCCGACCCTTCCCATCTCCGACCCAAGGGCCAGATTGTGAAAATGCAGGTGTACTCTGTTCGGAAAAGACTTCCTTCCTGTGTTGGAAAAAGATTTCCTGAGCGCTCACTGTGTGCCAAGCCCTGTGCTGGGTGGAGGGCCCGGTGGTGGCCACACAGCTCTGGCCCTGCTCTCCCAGAGCTCAGGATCTAGACGGAAGCACACCTACAGAACAGTGAATGGGATAATTAAAAACAGTAAACAGCGCCGAAACCCGTTTGGCTCAGTGGATAGAGCGTCGGTTTGCGGACTGAAAGGTCCCAGGTTCGATTCCGGTCAAGGGCGTTGCGGGCACATCCCCAGTGGGGGGTGTGCAAGAGGTAGCTGGTCAAAGTTTCTCTCTCATCGATGTTTCTAGCTCTTTATCCCTCTCTCTTCCTCTCTGTAAAAAATCAACAAAATATTTTTTTAAAATGGTAAACAGGAAAAGTGCCCTGGAGGAAATAAGCAGAAGAAAAAGAAACCCCTTAGGTTAGGGGGTCAGGGGGGCCTCCCCAGGAGCGGTCTCTGACATCTGGGTGAAGGTGTGCTGGGCAGAGGGAGAGGTTCGGGGGGGGGGGGGGGGGGGAACACCAGGAAGGACTCCTAGCCGGTCTGAGCTGATTCTGGGTCAAGAATCAGAAGCCGAGGCCAGGCCAGGATGTGACCCCACATATGGCTGGCACCCAGGCCTGTCCTCCCATCCGCAATAGTGGGCAAGCTGGCTGGACATCTTCCCGTGGAAATGCAAATGAAAACCGCAGTGAGACGTCCAGCATCAAACAGAGGGCCAGCCACCAGCAGGTGAGGGTGTGGAGACACTGCTGGTGGGAAAAGGACGCTGCTGCTTGGAAAAACAAGGGTGCTGCTTAAAAAGGGAAATGTGTACCTGCCAAGCAAACCAGCGACCCCGCTCCTGGGTCCTACCCAAGAGAAATGAGAACGTACGCCCACGAGAAAGCTTATAGGCAAATGTCCACAGCGGCATTATTCACAATAGCTAGAAATTACCCAAACGCCCTTCCATGAGTGAAGAAACGTGTGTATTTGTACATGGAATAGTACTCAGCAACAAAAAGGAATGCTGTAGGGCAGAGGGTGACTGGGAAAGGAACATGTTCTGAGGAGACAGGGTTCTCAGACTGGACTGTGGTGATGCTTGTACCTCACAACTGCACAAATGTCCTAAAAGCCACCGAAGTCTATACTGACCGCAGGTGAACGGTACGGTATCTAAATTACACCTCAGTAAAAGGTAACTCTTGTCCCAGCCACTGTGGCTCATTTGATTGGAGCATATTCCCCTACACCAAAAGGCGGGTAGGTTCGATTCCCGGTTAAGGCACATACCCAGATACCCAGATTGTGGGCTCAGCTCTCTCTCTCTCTCTCTCTTTACCTTTCTCTCCAAAAAGCAATAAAAATAAATTAAAAAATGAGGTATCTGCTGAAACTGGTTTAGCTCAGTGGATAGAGCGTCAGCCTGCGAACTAAAAGGTCCCGGGTTCGATTCCGGTCAAGGGCATGTGCCTTGGTTGCAGGCGCATCCCCACAGGGGGTGTGCAGGAGGCAGCTGATCGATGACTCCTCTCATTGATGTTTCTAATTCTCTATCCCTCTCTCTTCCTCTCTGTAAAAAAAAAAAAAAAAAAAAAATGAGGTAACTCTCAGTGGCTTCCACTTCCCTCAGAGTGAAGGCAAAGTCCTCACCTTGGTCCCCAAGGGCCTGATCTGGCTCTCTCCCTGCCTCTGCTCTCACCTATTGTATCTCCCCTCACTCACCAGCTCCAGCCACACCAGGCACCTCCCACCTCAGGGCCTTTGCACCTGCTGTTTCCTTCACCTGAAAGGCTTTCCCCCCATGGAGCTATCTGCCTCCCTTCTTCAAGTCTGTTCAAAGGTCACCTTCTAGCGAGGCCTTCCCAAGCTACCCTGTTTAAATTACAACCCTTCTACCCACCCTCACAGCTTTCTTTTTGTCCATGACACTTACTGCATCTGATCCACTATACATTTTCCTATTTATCTTAGGACAGCCCCATCTGCTCTCCCACCCCCACCCGAAGCCCTCAAATAGAACATGAGCTCCGAGAGGCCAGGGCCTCTGCTTTGCTCGCAGCTGTATCTCCAGCATTAGCATGGATCAGAGCCTGTGCGGGGACAAAATACACATGAACCGGAGGGATGAATGCTGCGTCTGTGGGTCCTGTGTCTCAGCCCTCGGCTGATGGAGCAGCGGGCTGGCTGGAGCATGGGACTGCCAAGGCCTGTCTAGACCCCTCAGGCCAGGAGAAGGCGGTGGTGGCTGCGGACACAGCATGGTTCCTCCTCTTGGACCCACATGTCCATTCTCACACACTATCTCCAGGAACTCGCACCAAGGGGCCCAGGAAGCAGATAAAACATGAGGCTGGGCCAGAGGCGGAACACCTGGACCCACCATGGGACTGCCACCTCAGCTTAGCCTCCGCCTCAGGATCCATTCATCCCGCAGACACTGCGCACCTGGCCCGGGCCAGGTCCCCAGCTGGGCGGCGTGGAGGTCACAGTTCTGCGCTCCTGCAGCTCCTGCCAGCGGAGGAGACAGATGGACGGGGTGGGCAGTGCTTGGGACAGGGGAGCCCAGGGGGTCCTGGCCCAGTCTGGGAGGGTCAGAGAGGGCTGCCTATGGGAGAGAGCATCTGAGAGGCACAGGACTGTAAGGACCAACCGGGTAAGGAGGGCAGAAGCCTATGCACAGGCTATGAGGAAGGGACAGCAAGGCACACTCCTGAAATAAAAGAGCTCAAATGGGCAGATGCTCCTCTCATCCAGTGTTCTCCAGCAGGGGCAATCTTGTGTATGTCTCCCCCCGCCAGTTAGCAATGCCTGCAGACGTTTTTGGTTGTCACAACCGGGCAGTGGTGTACACGCTACTGATATCTAGTGTGTAGAGGCTAAAGATGCTGCACAATATCCTCATGCACACAGGACAGTGAAGAATTATCCAACACAAAATGTCAGTAGGTGCTGAGGTTGAGACATCCTTAGTCTGAAGGAAGTCAGATCGTGCAGCGCCTTGTTCTGCTAAAGAACTTGTACTTTGTCCTGAAAGCAAAGGAATGCCTCAAGAGATTTAAGCAGCGGTAGAACAAGAGAAGACGAGGGTGTGTGGGGGTCTGTGGACACTCCCAGCAATCAGGGCACCCTGAGCTCTAGTCTCTCCCATCATGCCCTCCACACACACACACACCCCCACCTCCATCCCTACGAACCCAATAATCTACAGAAACTCCAAGGGAGAAAGACCTTTCAGCAAGACTGAGAAGCCCCTGAAGATGGGGACTGAGTCTTCCTTCCAGTGCTAAGGCAGCAACTTTTCCTGAGGGCCCCCCGCCCTGTCCCCCCTGTTCCCAGGGGCCAGGGCCTGGTTGAAGATGCCAAACAAGGTGTGTCTTGCTCTATCACACAAATCTCATCCTGGTGTTCCAGGTGATATTATTTGCCTCTCTGCTTGGCTCCCTCAGTCCCTGGCATAGACTTTTGTCATTGCCCTAGTCATCCAGTATCATAATTCTTCACATGTCAGTCTTCTCTCCTGCTCCACTGACGGCAGGGACACGTGTGTGGCCATCTTTGTGGCCCAGCACATGGCTGGCCCTCCTATCTAACCCTTCCATTTACCACTGGAGAAATAAGGCCCAAAGAGAGAGGAACTAGCACAAGGTCACAGAGAAACTCGGCTTCACTCTCCCCGCCCAACCTGAGCTCCTCTCCCCTGTGCTGCTCCCACTCAGTGACATGACAGCCGGGTGGGTGGGTCCGACAGCACCTTGCTGTCATTCCCTAAACGCCTGAAGGGTGGGTGCCTGAACTAGCTAGTATGTTCCGCAGCCTCCGTTTGTTTAGTTGTGGCGGCGAGGGTCAGAAACCACCAGCACCTGGGCTAATTCCTCCATAGGGTCAGTTTATGATCAAAGCACACCCATTCCAGTCCTGACCACGCTGGGTTAGCAGCGTCTACTAACTGCTATGTGGGATGAATCCCAACCCAACCTGGGTGGCATTCTGCAAGCGCCTCACTCTCGCTGTTCCTTGGATTCCCATCTGTAAAATGGGTCCGTCAGTCTCCACAGCCTGTGCCCTTACGATGAATACCTGGCTTCCCCCAGAGATACAAAACTCCCAGTCCATCAATCACTGTCCACAAGTCAGGCACTGCAAGAGAGACCCTGAATGCCAGACCACCCCGGGAACGGACGTGGAGCCTGGAATCAGGAGTCGAGAACCGAGAGAGCCCGGTACAAGGCTGCGTCCCTCCAAGCCACGGTTTCCAGCTCAAGCAATGAGCTTGGTGGCCGCTCAGCGCGAGCATGCAGGGGTCCCGACGCGCAACAGGGCCCTGCTCCCCGCACTGTCCGGCCTCCCGGGGCCACCCGGCCCCGCCTGGGCCCGGTGTTCAAGGTCCCTCTGGGCAAGGATCCCCCGATGCACGGGGTTCCACGAAAAGGGGCAGGACACGCCCCATGGGAGGCCCCCCGAGTGGAGAGGAACCCCTCAGGCCCCTCTCGGCCTCCGTACCTGACCGGAGCTGCCTCCTCCGGCCGCCACCACGGCGCTGCCGGCCCCGTCCGTCTCCTGCGCCGCCGCCATCTTCCCGCTCCGGGTCCCCGCCCCCGCCGCCAGCCCCGCCCCGTCCCCGACCGCAGCAGCGCGATCGCGCGAGATTTCACGTTTTGCCCCGACCTACCGGCCACCGTACCGGGCAAGAGCGCCTCAGCCACGCCTCTCGCGAGAGGTGTTTTCGGCTATGAAGGAAGCAGTCCGGCTGAAGCTTAGCCCATTGGTTTTCACCTGGACACGCTGCCTGCTCCGAACTGCCAGGACATTCTCAGCTCATTATGTGCTATCCACAGGCTCCATTACTTCTGCCTTCTCCGATAAACCAGCCTCTCCCAGTGATGTGAGCTTTCTAGGCCGTCCCGCCCGCTTCACGCAGCCGAGTCTTCTAGTTTATTCCGTTCCGTGTTTTTTGAGCTTTCCCGGCCACCGGAACGCTTCAAAACATTTTGCTTGAGCCACGCCCTTTCTGCATGAAAGGAACTTCCTGGGCACCGTATCCAGATTCAGAGTGGGATTTCCTACCAATATCCTCCCGCTCTCACTTCTTTTCCTAACATCCTTTCTCCTCTGCAAATCCCCTTGATGTTATGTTTTTCCTGTGCATTCAGAGTACTATTTCAGGGTTCTCACGGCCACCACGCCTCCAAATTGGGTCCTGTCAGCCCCTTCCCTAAGTTTCAGGCCGCCACTTTGGCGCGCATGCGTGTTCTCCATGGTCTGGGGACTAGGCTTCCAGGGCTGTATGAGCTGCATATTTTTTTTTAGCTGTGCATGTATCTTTCTACACTTGTTCAGAGACTCCTTGCTTGGGAGAGTTTTATGAAAGCCCGCCCAGAGGACAGAAGATTATCAGCGGCTGTTAAACCTTCACCAATGAATTGGGTGGAGGTTTGACCTGGGCTTACATTCTGGTTGTACTACTGATCTGCTCAGTGGTTGGCAAACTCATTAGCCAACAGCCAAATATCAACAGTACAACGATTGAAATTTCTTTTTTAAAAAGAAAACATTTTATTAAAAGAAAATATAAAAGTAAAAATCCCAGAAATAAACAAAAAATAAAAATAAAATAAACATTTTATTGATTTTTCACAGAGAGGAAGAGAGAGGGATAGAGTTAGAAACATCGATGAGAGAGAAACATTCATCAGCTGCCTCTTGCACACACCCCCACTGGGGATGCGCCCGCAACCAAGATACTTGCCTTTGACCGGAATCGAACCCGGGATCTTTCAGTCTGCAGGCTGACATTATCCACTGAGCCATGCCGGTTTCGGCTGAAATTTCTTTTGAGAGCCAATTTTAAACTTAAACTAATTCTAACACCACTTCTTCAAGATAGACGCCCAGGCCTTGGTATTTTGTGGAAGAGCCACACACAAGGGGCCAAAGAGCCGTGTGTGGCTCACGAGCTGCGGCTTGCAGACCACTGGGCTAAATGATCCCGAACAAGTGACATATCTCTTTAAGCCTTCGTTTCCTCCTCGTATAAACTAGGCATTATAACCCTAGCCGGTTTGGCTCCGTGCATAGAGTGTCGACCTACAGGCTGAAGGGTCTCCCGTTCGATCCGGCCAAGGTCACTTATCTCGGTTGCAGGCTCCTCCCCAGCCTGGCCTTGGTCAGGGAGCTTGCTGGAGGCAACCAATCTATGTTTCTGTCTTTCCCTCTCTCCACTCTTTCTAAAAAGTCCATGGAAAAAATATCCTCAGGTGAGGATTAAAAATAATAATAAATAAAAATGTTTAAAAATAAATAAACAAACTAGGCATTATACCAGCACCAGCTATTCTTCCTCCCCTTTTGCCCCATAGGGCTTTCAAGAAGACCCAGTGAGATCTCCAATGTGGAACCCCTGGTCCCTGCCTTACGTTTAGAAAGTGATCAACATCATGTGCTGCCACTGCGAACCTTACACATTACTGGGAGATTCTAATTGTTTTACTATCTTCTTCCTACACTTTCCTATAGCTCTCAGCTCAGTAATAATATCATCTCCGTCAGGAAACCCTCCCTGACCCCCTTGGCCTGGCAGGGCACCGCCTTTCAGTCCTCCAAGATCCCTGGACTCTCTCACCCCGTACCTGCTCACTTTGGGTCATCAGTGTCCGAAATGGGTGTGGTGTGTCGTGCTTGCCCAGGGCTGTCCTGATTATTGCCGTACCCTTCAGCACTGCTCTGGGGGTGACTGCTGAGTGGAAGGATGAAACTCTGGGTGCAGAAGGTGAACGACTTACTTCTGAGGATCAACACAAGGGCAAGGAGAAACCTTAGACAACTTCTTGCCCAGTTCTCTTACAGAGAATGGTAGTAATAATTCTGTGATATTATCCATCCAGGGACCAATGAACATATTAATTATGTCCCCCAGACTGAGACTTTTGTGGGCCTCTTTTTTGAAAAACATTTTTATTGATTTGTAGAGAGAGCGAAAGGAAGAGGTAGAGAGATACATGGATGTGAAAGCGTAACATCCATCATCGGCTGCCTCCTGCATGACCCCTAAGGGGAATCAAACCCACAATCCAGGCATGTGCCTGACCGGGAATCATACTATTATAGCAAACTCAGTGCACAGGATGATGCTCAACCAACTGAGCCACAGAAAGCAGGGCAGGCATCTCTTTTTATTTTATTTTATTTATTTATTTGGGAGGTATTGATTTTTTTAATTGTCTAAAGTTTTACATATGTCTCCTTTTTCCCCAAATGACCCCCCACCCCGTTTATAGTAATAGTAATAAGGATAAATACAATATTGAATAAGTATTAAAGTGTGGAATTGAAGTGTGATATCTGAAAGTATGGAATGGAATGTAACAAACTGATAAGCACCCTTGAGTGACCTGTATGTAGGAAATAGATAAAGTGATCCGTACCCCATATGTAAGACCGGATAGCAAGGCTCCTGGGACCCGCCGATAAGACACACTGAAGACACATAAAAAGAGCAAACTCCACAGAAGATCAGAGACGTCTTTTCTGCTCCTCCACAGAGGGTTGCTCTCCACTTCCCCTGCCTGCACCCGTCAAAGCTCTGCCTGAGCCTCTAGCCCCGAACCCTGAGCCTCGGACCGTGAGCCGCCGTGAGAGGCTTCAACTGAAGCCGAGCTGCAGCTGCAAAGTCCTCCGTGAACCCTATGTCTTATCAGTGCGGGTCCCGGGTGGCCTGCCTAGGATTCTGGAACCCACCAGGACTCTGGTAAATAAATCGTGAGTGATTCATGGATTGCATGTTTGTCTTCTGTGTAATTTATGCTCGGTGGAATTATTCATTAAGTACCTAGGGTCGTACGTGTCAGATTTCTGGCTGAGGCACCCTTGGTCACCTGTGCATACGTCCCTTATGGAATTATTGGGACACCCCCAAGCAGGCCTCTCTTTTAGAAGTACAAAGTTTTTTGGTTTTTTAAAATATATTTTATTGATTTTTTTTAAATTTTTTACAGAGAGAAAGAGATGGGGATAGAGAGCTAGAAACATGGGTGAGAGAGAAACATCAATCAGCCGCCTCCTTCACACCTTCTACTGGGGATGTGTCCGCAACCAAGGTACATGCCCTCAACGGGAATCGAACCTGGGACCCTTCAGTCCACAGGCCAGCGCTCCACCCACTGAGCCAAACTGGTTAGGGCTGGAAGTACAAAGTTATACAAACAAATTCAAATAGACCACAGAAAGCCCAGGCAAGTGAGGGGCTTTGACACTTAATCTTCAGTTTCACTGTAACCGGTCTCTGCTCTCAGCTCTAGGTACAAAATGCCCCAGTCTGTTTTCCTCTCTCACATGCAGCTGAGCCCTGACCCGGGAAGCGCTAGAGGCTGTCAGCTGGACTGTGACCTTAGAAAGGAGCCCTGCAAAGCCCTCCCAGATAAATTCTTCCACTCCTTCTAACCGGTAAATAAATCACAGGCCAGATCCGCTCCGCCCTCCGCTAGGGGGCGCCCAACACCAACCAGAAGTTGGGATTTCACGTTCTAAGGGAGAAGGAGCCTGGGGACCTGACCTTCTGATTTCCTCAGAAGAGGTTGGGGGTCTGGACTCCTGAGTCTGCGGGAGAAATCGGGGGTCCCTGACTCTTGAGTTCTCAGGGAGAGGAAGTGGGGGGGCCTGGACTCCGGGGTCCTGGGGGGAGCAGGACTGGGGTAGGAGCCTGAGAAAGGAAGGAGGGATCTGGAAAGGGCACTAGGATTGGTTGGACACAGAACTGGCCTGGGCAGAGGTTTGGTTTGGCTTGAGTCCGTGAGAAACAAGTGGACAGAGCAGGGATTGTTCCTCCGGGGTCCCCCCTCCCCAGCACCCCCTCGGTTTGGCAGCCTCAGCTCTTCCCAGGCCCTGGGGATTCAGGGACATTTCCCACAACCCCTCCCCAAGGCCCCTGTTTTCCACTGGGCTTCCAGCTGCCCAGCCCCAGGACCTGGGAAAACGGCCCCAACAGTGCTGAAAGGCTGGCGGAGGTTAATGCCAAGCAGATTGGGAGAAATTCAAGCCCCGTGTCCTCAGAGGCCAACAGTCCCATCCCGCAGGTTTGGGGGCCCAGGACTACCCTCTGTTCCCTCGGAACCCAGGAGTCCAGGTGCCCGGCCCTCTACCCTCAGGCTCTGGCAGTGCCCTCTCTCAGACTGCAGAGCCTCTGTTCTTATCCGCACACCCTGTGCTTTTGACCTGCTGTCCCCGCGGCCCAGACACCCTCTCGAGGTCACTCACCACCCCACTCAGACCTGGGGCCACGGGCCTGTCCCTTCCCTCCCCCACTCTCCAGCAGCCACAGCTCCGCCCACCCTGCAGTGGTCATGCAGAACCCCGTGACTAGCCCAGCCAGGGCCTCTTGGGGGCCCACCCTGCGCGGAATCCACTACTTATCCAAGGTGGCCGCACCCAGGCCTTGATATGCTCACTTTCTCTCCTTTTCTTTTTCGTTTTTTAAAATATATTTTATTGTTTTTTTGTGTGTGTTTTTTTACAGAGAGGAAGGGAGAGGATAGAGAGTTAGAAACATCAATGAGAGAGAAACATCAATCAGCTGCCTCCTGCATTCACTGGGGATGTGCCCACAACCAAGGTACATGCCCTTGATTGGAATTGAACCTGGGGCCTTTCAGTCCGCAGGCCGACGCTCTATCCACTGAGCTAAACCAGTTAGGGCTCTCCTTTTCTTCATTGCTCTCTTGCTACCTGAAGTTATCTCCTCCACTGGTTGGCTTGCTCATCCTCTGCCCACTACTCCTCCCCCACCCCCCGCCTCCCCATTTGTGGCCTCAGGATGGAACAGAGCTATTGGCTCTGAGTAGAAGTTCGGAAATGTTATGACTGTTGCCAATCAGAAGAGAGCGCCTTGCCTGGCTGGTGTGGATCTGTGGTTGAGTGTTGACCTATGAACCAAGAGGTCACAGTTCAATTCCCACTCAGGGCGCATGCCCGGGATTGTGGGCTTGATCCCCAGTAGGGGGTGTGCAGGAGGCAGCCAATCCATGATTCTCTCATCATTGATGTTTTTTGTTGTTGTTGTTTTTAATATATTATATTGATTTTCCACAGAGAGGGAGGGAGAGGGACAGAGAGCTAGAAACGTTGATGAGAGAGAAACATCAACCAGTTCCTCCTGCACACCCCCTACCGGGGATGTGCCCGCAACCAAGGTACATGCCCCTGACCGGAATCGAACCCGGCACCCCCCAGTCCGCAGACCGACACTCTATCCACTGAGCCAAACTGGTTTTGGCTCATCATTGATGTTTCTATCTCTCTCTCTCTCCCTCTACCTTCCTCGCCGAAATTAATTTTTAAAAAAATTTTTTTTTTAAAGAAAAGAATAAGAACACGGTGGCCATGTAGCTCAGATGGTTGGAGTGTCAACCCGATAGGCTAAGGTTTCTGGTTTAATCCCCAGCCAGGACGCACACAAGAAGCAACCAATGAATGCATAAATGAGTGGGACAACAAAGCAATGTTTCTCTCTCTTTCTCTCCCCCCACCCTTCCTCTCTCTCAAATCAATAAATAAAAACGTTAAACCCTAATTGGTTTGGCTTAGTGGAAAGAGCATAGGCCTGATAACTGAAGGGTCCCGGGTTCAATTCCCTCAAGGACACATACCTCAGTTGCAGGCAGTGGAGGGCGTGCAGGAGGCAGCCAATCAGTGATTCTCTCTCATCATTGATGTTTCTCTCTCTCTCTCCCACTTCCTTTTCCTCTGAAATCAATAAAAAATATGTATATATATTTACGCCAAGACCGGTTTGGCTCAATGGATAGAGCGTTGGCTTGGGGACTGAAAGGTCCCGGGTTCGATTCCGGTCAAGGGCATGTACCTTGGTTGCGGGCATATCCCCAGTAGGGGGTGTGCAAGAGGCAGCTGATCTATGTCTATCTCTCATCGATGTTTCTAACTATCTCTCTCTCTTCCTCTCTGTACAAAATCAATAAAATATATTTAAAAAAAAAAATGTATATATATTTTAAGTTAAACCCTGGCTAGTGTGGCTTAGTTGATTGAGCATCATCCTATGCACCAAAAGGTTGTCAGCTCTATTCCAATCCCATAACATGTTATGGGATTGGATCTCCAGGGTGCTTATGGAAGACAATCAATTGATGTATTTTTCATATCAATGTGTCCCCCCCCTCTCTCCCTTTCTTTCTCTTAAAAAAACACAATAAAATATTTTAAATTAATTTTTAAAAAGAACTAACAAAAGATACCACAAATCTTTAATCACTAAAACTATGTGGAATTGGGCCAAAACCCAATACAAAGCACTGTGAGGGGCCACATGCAGGCAGGACTGTGCCTTTCCCTGCTGTGCCCCCAGAGCCTGGTAGGGTCTCAATAAATGCATGTGAGGTGAATGGATAGCAACTGCCATGGAGCAGGTCTGTCCTCACGGGTCCCAGCCAACCTGGGCACTGACTTCCAGTGGTCAGCAGTGACTTGTGGGCACCAGTCTCCCCTCTGTCACACGCTCCACTCAATGGACGGCACATCTATTTTTATTTATTTTTAAATATATTTTATTGATTTTTTACAGAGAGGAATAGAGAGTTAGAAACATTGATGAGAGAGAATCATCGATCAGCTGCCTCTTGCACACCCCCTACTGGGGATGTGCCTGCAACCAAGGTACATGCCCTTGACTGGAATAGAACCTGGAACCCTTGAGTTCGTAGGCCGACACTCTATCCACTGAGCCAAACCAGCTAGGGCTAGATGGCACATTTAAAGTGTCAGCCCACAGCTTGGACACTGTTAGAGGCCCCTGCAGGGATGCTGTGTCCATGGCTGGTCATTTTATAGATGAGAGAGAAGGGTCTTGGTGAAAGACAGTCTCTAATTTTGTTGTTCTGATCATTTATTGTTGTTATTTACCTCTTTATTTCCTCTAACCGGGCTAGGGCTGCCTGTGTATAATAGGCACTCAGTAAGTGTTGGCTGGACTGAAAGAGCCTCTTCATCTTGGTCCCTGAGGTCTCAGAAAAGCAGCCACATCAAAGAGAACAAACTTGGCTTTTTTCTTTTTATTGATAAGAAATCAGGCTAAAGCTGAGAGCAGGATGCTGAGGGCTGCTAAGAAGTGGGAGCGTCAGGGTGGTCAGGGAGCCATGGCGTCTGGACTATGTGACTGGGGCCCAGCTGTTACTCCTCTCCCCTCAGCAGAGAAAGGAGCTGGTCAGTAAAAATCCCTGTGTACGTGGTCATAGCTGCTGTGCTTTGGCTGTACACATCCCTGTGGAGACAGGACAGAGGGTTTGAGAAGGGATGGGGCTGGGGGCCTGGACCCCTGGGTGTGAGGGAGGAGGGGCTGGGTATTTGGACTCTTGATCTGAGGGAGGAGGGGCTGGGGGCCTGGACTCCTGGGTCTGAGGGAGGAGGGGCTGGGGGCCTAGACCCCTGGGTCTGAGGGAGGAGGGGCTGGGGGCCTGGACCCCTGGGTCTGAGGGAGGAGGGGCTGGGGGTCTGGACCCCAGGGTCTGAGGGAGGAGGGGCTGGGGGCCTGGACCCCTGGGTCTGAGGGAGGAGGGGCTGGGGGCCTGGACCCCTGGGTCTGAGGGAGGAGGGGCTGGGGGTCTGGACCCCTGGGTCTGAGGGAGGAGGGGCTGGGCCCTGGACTCCTGGGTCTGAGGGAGGAGGGGCTGGGGGCCTAGACCCCTGGGTCTGAGGGAGGAGGGGCTGGGGGCCTGGACCCCTGGGTCTGAGGGAGGAGGGTCTGGGGCCTGGACTTCTGGGTCTGAGGGGGGAAGGGCTGGGGGTCTGGACCCCTGGGTCTGAGGGAGGGGGGGCTGGGGGGCTGGACCCCTGGGTATGAGGGAGGAGGGCTGGGGGTCTGGACTTCTGGATCTGAGGGGGGAGGAGCTGAGGCCTGGACTCCCTGTCTGAGTGGGGAGGGGCTGGGGCCTAGGCTCCTGGGTCTGAGGGAGGAGGTGCTGGGGTCTGAACTCCTGGGTGTGAAGGAGGCGGGGCTGGGGCCTAGGCTCCTGGGTCTGAGGGAGGAGGTGCTGGGGTCTGAACTCCTGGGTGTGAAGGAGGAGGGGCTGGGGGTCTGGACCCCTGGGTCTGAGGGAGGAGGGGCTGGTGGTCTGGACCCCTGGGTCTGAGGGAGGAGGGGCTGGGGGTCTGGACCCCTGGGTCTGAGGGAGGAGGGGCTGGGGGTCTGGACCCCTGGGTCTGAGGGAGGAGGGGCTGGGGGCCTGGACTCCTGGGTATGAGTGGGGAGAGGCTGGGGCCTGGACTCCCTGTCTGAGTGGGGAGGGGCTGGGGCCTAGGCTCCTGGGTCTGAGGGAGGAAGTGGTGGGGTCTGAACTCCTGGGTGTGAAGGAGGAGGGGCTGGGGGTCTGGACTCCTGGGTCTGAGGGGGTAGGGGCTGGGAGCCAGAATCACATGTCCTTAGGGTAAAGGTGGCTGCAACCCAAGCTTCTGGAATCCTAGGTAGGACAGGGCTGGGATCTCCGAATCTCAGGTTCTGATGGGGTTGGGGGATGGAGACTGAGGTACTTGGGCCTTGAAAGAGCCTAGGTCTGAACTAGACCCTGGGTCTGAGGGAGCAGGGGCTGGGGCTGGGGCGATACCTGATTTTCTCGTCCATGGAGGGCAGGTAGGTCTTCCTGTACAGGTCGTGGGCGGCGGTCTTGGCTGAATCCCAGTAACTAAGAAGCGATTCCTGCATCTGGGAGAACAGCGTGGGGCCCGCAGCCTCACCCTGCAGGGGCGTAGGGGTCCCCTGGACCTCTGTAGGGGAGACTGAAATAGGAGGGCTGATGGGCCTGCAGCAGAGGGCCCTGGGCAGGGAAGGAAGGAGGAAGGGGCAGGGCCAGGGCCAGACCAGAACTGTGACGGGAAGATGCTTAGGGCACAGACCCGCCTCCCCTGCCAACCACACTCACCAAATCCCAATACCAGGAGGAGGACACACAGAGCCAGGATGTGTCGGGTTCCCATGGTGTCGGGTGACCTGGAACACTGAGGAGGGGGGGGCAGGGCCGTGGAGGCATCTACTCCTGGGGTCCCCGCCCTCAAAGGGGGCCTGAGCTCCCTCTCCCTTGCCCCCCAATCCAAGTCAAGTTCCCCATGCGCCTCCCTGTCTAACATTCTGTGATTCTACTCCTGATTTTAATGTTGTAACCCTAACATCCATTCATTCACTCCGGAGCATTTCTTGAGCCTCTGTTACGTGTCAAGCACAGCTCTGGGCCTGGCCGTGAGCACAGCGACCCAGCCCTTAGGAAGCCGACAGGCAGCGAGCAGATATTGAAAGAGGGTGATGCAGCGTGTCCCTGGAGATAGGTGCTGGGGGGTGGGGGGGCTGTGCCAGGGCCGGGGAGGCCCCGCTGAGGAGGCATTCACGCTCAGACCCAGCCCATGAGGGCCGGGCCGCAGCTCAGCTAAGCACCGGTGTGGGGATGACAGGTGTCTGCTCTCCCCCTCGCCGCTCCCTCAGCCGGTGTCGCTGTGGAGGGGTGGAGAGCTGGCCCTGGACGGGGACCCGCATGGGCCAACGTTCCACAATTCTAATTTCTGTGAATCTAGCACCCTGACTTTTCTTTTCTTTTCTTAATCCTCACCCGAGGATCTTTTTCCATTGATTTTTTTTTTTTTTTTTTTTTTTGAGAGAATGAGAGAATAAGAAAGAAAGAGAGAGAGAGACGTTGACTGGTTGCCTCCTGCATGTGCCCCGGGACCAGGGCCAGGAATCCAGCCTGCAGCCGGGGTACATGCCCTTGACTGGAATCGAACCCGGGACCCTTCAGTCTGAGGACTGACCCTCTCTAGCCACTGAGCCAAACCCGCAAGGGCCATCCTGACTTGCTTTTTTAAAATATATTTTTATTGATTTCAGAAAGAAAGGGAGAAGGAGAGAGAGACTAGAAACATCAATGGTGAGAGAGAATCTGATGGGCTGCCTCCTGCACGCCCCCCACTGGGGATCGAGCCCACATCCCAGGCCTGTGTCCTTGACCAGGATCGAACCCGGGACCCTTCAGTCCGCAGGCCGACGCTCTATCCACTGAGCCAAGCCGGCTAGGCCAGGGCCATGCTGACTTGTGAACACTCTTTGCTCCCTCCCTGCTGACCCCCCCCCCCATGTGGGCCCCACTCTTACCAGACTCCGGAGGCGGGCGGTCCTCACCGGCTCCCGGGGCAGGGAAAGGCTTTATAGCTCTCGGGCTCCACGTCCCCTCGGCCGGGCTGCCTAGGCCAAAGTCCAGGCCAACACAGCCACGGGGCGGGGGCGGGTCCCGAGGGCAGCCACATGCCCTGAGGCCACGCCACCGGAGCCCCCCCTGAGCCTTCACCCCGAGAGTGACCGGCCGGGAGGGGGCTGGGAGGGGCCGGCGGCTTTGGGCACCCCCGCAGGAGTGGGATCTGGGGTCTCCATCACGTGGACCTAGAAGCCACGCTCTGAATGAGGGGGTCTCTGCGGGGACCTGCGAACCCACCTCCTCTCCAGCTGCCACCCTCCACCCCACCCCGAGGAGCCTGCCGTCTGCACCCCACAGGAGCCCGAAGTGGGTATGAGGCCCGAGGGAGGGCGTCCCCTGACCTCGTCCCCCCAACCGCCCCGGCCCCCGCCCCCGCCCCGCACGCACACCCCTCCCTTATGGGGGGCCGCTTCCGCTGTCACTCGCTGCGGGTGCGTGGGGTGGGCTCGTCGCGGGCCCCACTGAGAGAGCTCGGGACAGGCACACAGACAGGAACGGTTTATTGTGCGGCTGTGGGCTCGCTAACCCCGGCCGCCCTCCCCGCAGAGGAGCTGGGGACACAGACTGTGGGCCTTGTTCAGGAGGTTGTCCTTGGAGCTTCGGAGCCAGGCCTGGGTGCGGGGGCCCAGGTCCTTCAGGTGGTCCTCATAGTAGGTCTGCATATAGCCCTGGAGGGCCGGGGGGACCCTGGGAGGAGGGATGTCAGTGAGAGCCCAGCCACCCCAACACCTTGCCTCATTTACCTCCTCCTCCCTCAGACCCAGGCCCCCAGCCCTCCTCCCTCAGACCCAGAGTCCAGGCCCCCAGCCCCTCCCCCCTCAGACCCAGAGTCCAGGCCCCCAGCCCTCCTCCCTCAGACCCAGGGGTCCAGGCCCCCAGCCCCTCCCCCCTCAGACCCAGAGTCCAGGCCCCCAGCCCTCCTCCCTCAGACCCAGGGGTCCAGGCCCCCAGCCCCTCCCCCCTCAGACCCAGAGTCCAGGCCCCCACCCTCCTCCCTCAGACCCAGGGGTCCAGGCCCCCACTCTCCTCCCTCAGACCCAGGGGTCCAGGCCCCCAGCCCCCTCTCCCTCACGCCCAGGGGTCCTGGTCCCCAGCCCTCCTCCCTCTGACCCAGGGGTCCAGACCCCCAGCCCCTCCTCCCTCAGACCCAGGGGTCCAGGCCCCCAGCCCTCCTCCCTCAGACCCAGAGTCCAGGCCCCCAGCCCCTCCCCCCTCAGACCCAGAGTCCAGGCCCCCAGCCCTCCTCCCTCAGACCCAGGGGTCCAGGCCCCCAGCCCCTCCCCCCTCAGACCCAGAGTCCAGGCCCCCAGCCCTCCTCCCTCAGACCCAGGGGTCCAGGCCCCCAGCCCCTCCCCCCTCAGACCCAGAGTCCAGGCCCCCACCCTCCTCCCTCAGACCCAGGGGTCCAGGCCCCCACTCTCCTCCCTCAGACCCAGGGGTCCAGGCCCCCAGCCCCCTCTCCCTCACGCCCAGGAGTCCTGGTCCCCAGCCCTCCTCCCTCTGACCCAGGGGTCCAGACCCCCAGCCCCTCCTCCCTCAGACCCAGGGGTCCAGGCCCCCAGCCTCCCCCCCAGGCCCAGGGCCTGGCCTCCTGTGTATACTCACTGGAACCACTGCAAATTTTCTCTGGTCTTTGTCACCAGCGGCTCCACCAGGTCCTTCACCTTTTGGCGCACGAGGCTCCAGGAGCTACTTGCCAGGCCGGGCGGGGGGCTCGGGGTGCCTGCGGGCACCTTTGGCCTTTGGCGGCATTCTGGGTGTGACAGAGGCGCCCTGGGCCGGCTGGCCTCCCAGAACCCTGCTCCCTCCCTGCCCACTGCCACTGCCACCGCCACTGCCACTGTCAGTCCTGGTGCCCACGGGCAGCCCTCACCAGTCCTCTCTCCGCTGGCCTTCACCCCTTGTAGGTCCCCTTCAGCCATTGGTCATCCCCTTCCCCCTCTATGCCCGTGGCCCCTCCTGTCCCCCCTCTACCCGTGCTCCTCTCCCTCAGTGTCACCCCACCGCTCTGACCCGTCTCTGTCCCGCTGCCTCTTCTCCACTGACCTGGCTGCCCCTCGTTCTCCGTGACCCCCAGGCTGACCTCCCTGCGGGGCCCAGGAGCGCGGCACAGCCCGGCACCCGCAGAGCCTCCCAGCCGGCAGCCACCCCGCCGCTGCACACGCACACGCATGTACAGAAGTCCCACGTGCCAGCCGTGTGCCCCCGCCAGGAACTGACCCTCTTCCAGACTCAGCTTCCCTCTCTGTGCAACCGGACGATGCTAGGACCGACCTCGCGGGTCGGTGGGATTCAGGATGAACCCGTGTCACACCGAGGCGCTGTACACGTGTTAAAACTTCACAGGCACACGCACGCCCCGGACGGACTCGCTCCGAGCTCACACCCGCCCTCACACGCGGACACACTCAAAGCTTTTGCATAAAGACCCCATAAAGACACACACACACACACACACACACACACACGCAGGCACACACATGCGTGTTCACAGAGACACATACATTCACCTCGACTGCATACTCATGCTTACCCACACATGCACGACCACTGTCATGTGTTCCAACCCCACCCACATACACACTTTCACACACAACTGCCGCTGACACATACTCGCCAAGAGCGCACATGCCTGCAAACTGCATCCACGTCCACTGTGGGGTCCCCCCGCCCCCCCACGTCCCCCCGCTCCCCGCCCGAGCTGCTCACCCACCGCGCAGGCCAGGACCGTGGCGCAGAGGCAGAGGGCGAGGGCCCGGGGCCTGCCTCCGGGGAGCAGCATTTCTGGGGGCCCTCTCTCTCCGTGCTCGGCAGCCGGGCTGGGGGAGGGGAGCCGCGCCCGCACAGCCCTCCCCGGCCTCCCACGCCCCCTGGCAGGGACTTCAGAGCCAGGGACCTACAGGGCAGTGACGGCCAGAGGCCCCGCCCGCCCCCGCCAGCCTCCCTCCCGCCTGCCTCCCCGGCCCCTGGCAGCACAGGGGGCGGCAGAACCTCCTCTGGCCTCCGGTGCTGACCCAGGTTCAAACCCTGGCTCCGCCCCATGTGACTTTCCCGGGACCGTCACCAGTTCTGGCCTCTGTTTCCTGCTCTGCAAAATGGACCCACAGTCCATGCTCCAGGCGGGACACCCCTTTAAGGACATTATACAGGGAAGGTGTGAACACGGAGCCTGGCAGTGGCTGTGCCATAGGTCACAGCTGTGTCTGATCAGTTCTCTCTTCTCTGACAGCTCTTGGCTGTAGGGCCAGACACAGCTCACCACGTGGCCTGGGCAAGCGCTTCCCCTTCTCTGGGCCTCGGTGTTTTCAAGTGTAAAATGGGGCGGTAATAAGCACCTGCCCTGAGAGTGCTTGTGAGGGCGGGCGAGGCCCGGGGGGGACAGGGAAGCTCCAGGTGTGCGTCGTAGGAGGCTGTCAGCACCAGGTTGGTGCCCAACGCTGGACAGAAAATGAGCCTATTTCGCCCTGGCCGTGTAGCTCTGTTGATTAGAACATCGTACTGATACCCCAGGATTGTGGGTTCAATCCCAGGTCAGGGCAATCCAATGAATAAGTGGAACAACAAATTGATCTCTTTCTCTCTCTCTCTCTCTCTCTCTCTCTCTCTCTCTCGCTCTCAAAACAAAGATAATATAAAACAGAAAATTATTTTATTTTTAAAAAATCTTTATTGTTGAAAGTAATTACCCATGTCCCCTCCCCACTGGCCCCTTCTAGCCCGCCCCATCCTCTACCCCAGGCCTTCACCACCCTGTTGTCTGTGCATATTTATGCACACTGAGTGGCCAGGTTATTATGATCTCTGAACGCATAATAATCTGGCCACTCAGTGTACATCCTATATAATAAAAGGTTAATATGCAAACTGTCCCCTCGACTAGGAGTTCAATCAGCAGGCAGGCCGGCCAACCACCCATGTCCCCTCCCCCTGGCCAGGCTGGGCGGACCCCACCCATGCATGAATTCATGCACCGGGCCTCTAACATAGAGGCCAGATTATTATGTATTCAGAGATCATAATAATCTGGCCAATCACACACACACACACACACACACATATACATACATATATATATACATATATATATACATATATACATATATATACATATATATGAGAAAAATTTTTAAAAATAGAAAATTATTTTTAAAAAGAAGTCCTTGGTCTAGGGTTGCCAGGTAAAATGCAGGACTCCCAGTGATGTGGGAATGTCAGATAAATGATGCATTTTATGTCTAGTATCAGTGTGCCCCACTCAGCATTTGGGAATTATACTAAAAGCGATGTGTTGTGTATTTGAAATTCCAGCCTCAGGGGGCATCCTGTGTTTGCAGGAGGGACCCTGACAGCCCCCCTGGGCCGAGTCTGAGCCCGCACAGGGGTCAGGGCCCGGCCAGGGCGGCCGAGAGACGGTTCGCACAGCCCGGCGCTGCCAGGTACGCCGCCGGACCGGGGCGGTGTCAGCAGTTGTTTATGGAGCTTGTGCTTCCCCAGCACCGGGCGCTCCGGGGGCTTTAGCGCATTAACTCCGTTAACTCCCTCCCTGACTTCACTCTGCCTCCTTCCCATCCCGCAGATGGGGAGGCTGAGCCTGCGGGTGGGAGCGAGGGTGGGGCCGCCTGCCCACGCACAGCCCCGCACCCACCCGGCCCTCTCACAGGACCTCCCCGGCCAGAGCGACCGCTGCCCCACCTACCCCACCTACCCCCATCCTCCAGGCCAAGGGGCAGGTGGGAGGGGGTGGGGGTGGGCCTGCCGGGAGGTCTCTGACCCCTGCCCCGCTCCAAGGTCAGCCAGACTGTTTGCTGTTCGCTTCTTGCAATGTTTGCCCACCTCGGGGCCAGGAACAGGCTGAAGGTCGCTGGTTCAGGGTGGACCTCAGAGGCAGCTCAAAAACAACATGGGGGGGGGGCGGGGGCGGACACTGGGGCAGAGAGGGCCTGAGGAAGGTGCGGGGGGTGGGATTTGCAAGTGGTAGGCAGGCCCGCTGAAAGGTGAGGCAGAGGCCGGAGACCAGGACACGGGCTTTATTGGACGGGAGGGACCTGCCGGGCTGGCTGCCTCCCAAAGGAAGCGAGCACACCTGCAGGGGTGAAGGCGCCTTTTGGGGGGGAGACGGGAGGGGGTGGGGCTTAGGGCACTCGGCACGCGCTGATTGGCGGTTTCATGTAAGGCACATGATTGGGACTTAGGGATGGGGGCTTGGGGTACTTGGCAGGTGCTGATGGGCGGTTCATGTACAGTCCATGGAAGGCGCCTGGTGAGGCGCTCAGGAATGTCCGGCCGCAGGTGCCGGTTACGTCATTCTCCGCCCATCGGCTGGGGGAAGGGAGGTCTGTCACCAGCAGTCCCCGGACATGTGTCTGCCCCAAGTTTGAGGCTCTCTTCAAAAGCAGTGTGCCCCGGCCCATGGGGCTCAGTTGGTTGGTGTGTGGTCCCCAGGCACCAAAAGGTTACAGGTTCAATCCTGGGTCAGGGTATGTGTGGGAGGCCACAGATTGATATTTTCTCTTACATTGATATCTCTATATCTTCCTCTCTCTAAGCATGTTCCTGGGTGAAGATTTTTTAAAAAGAAGAAAAGAAATTGATTGGCTCTAAAGTGCTAGAGAAATAGCCAAGTAAAAATTAGTAATTGTTGCTGAGATTGGTTTGGCTCAATGGATAGAGCATCAGCTTGGGGACTGAAGGGTCCCGGGTTCGATTCCGGTCAAGGGCATGTACCTTGGTTGCGGGCACATCCCCAGTAGGGGGTGTGCAAGAGGCAGCTGATCGATGACTCTCTCTCATCGATGTTTCTAACTCTCTATCTCTCTCCCTTCCTCTCTGTACAAAAAATCAATAAAATATATATTTTTAAAAAATTAGTAATTGTTCAAATAAAGGGGTACAAAATATACTCTTTATTTTTATTATTTAAATATAATAAATATATATTATATTTATTATATAATATTATATAATAATATAATTAGCCAAATTAGTTAGGGCCAAAATATACTCTCTCTCTCTCTCTCTCTCTTTTTTTTTTTTTAAATGTATTTTATTGAGTTTTTACAGAGAGGATGAGAGAAGGATAGAAAGCTAGAAACAGCGATGAGAGAGAATCAGCGACCAGCTGCCTCTTGCACACCCCCTACTGGGGATGTGCCCGCAACCAAGGTACATGCCCTTGACCGGAATAGAACCCGGGACCTTTCGGTTCGGAGTCCGTTGCTCTATCCACTGAGCCAAACCAGTTTCGGCCAAAATATACTCTTTTTAAACAAAATTTAAATTCCTTATTGTTTAAAGTATTACAGATGTCTCCTTTTCCCTCCATTGACCTCTCCACAGCCCCCCACCCACCCCCCAGCACATGCCCTCACCCCTGTGTCTGTGTCCATGGGTTAAATTTATATGCATGCGTACAAGGCCTTGGGTTGATCTCTTACCCTTCCCTGCCTTCCCTCTGAGATTGGACAGTCTGTTCGAAGCTTCTGTGTCTCTGGATCTATTTTTGTTCATCAGTTTATGTTGTTCAGGATATATACTTTTTAAAAATATATTTTTATTGATTTCAGAGAGGAAGGGAGAGGGAGGAGATAGACACATCGATGATGAGGGAATCATTGATTGGCTGCCTCCTGCAGGCCCCCCACTGGGGATCAAGCCCACAACCCGGGCATGTGCCCTGACCAGACTTGAATCCGGGACCCTTCAGGCCGCAGGCTGACGCTCTGTCCACTGAGCCAAACCGGCTAGGGCCAGAATATACTCTTAAACTCTTAAACTAGCTAACCCCGGCGCAATGCCTCATCCGGTTACTGTCTCATGAGGGACGAGGCAGGTGACTCCGGGAAGAGGAAGGTGGGCAGAGGGAGAAGGTGGCCCCAGGACCTCACTGGGCTGTGACCTCAGGCAGGTGGCCAGCCGACTGTGTCTCACTCCGTTTCCTCCTCTGAACCACAGGGTCAGCGAGAGTCCACCTAGAGGGGTTTGCAAAAATGTAATGCTTAGTGTTTGTTCCGTGTTTCCAGATTTAGCACGTGTGTTTCACCAAATGCTATTATTTAAAAATATATATATATTTTATTGATTTTTAAAGAGAGGAAGGGACAGGGATAGAGAGTTAGAAACATCGAGGAGAGAGAAACATCGACCAGCTGCCTCTTGCACATCCCCTACTGGGGATGTGCCCGCAACCAAGGTACATGCCCTTGACCAGAATCGAACCTGGGACCTTTCAGTCCTCAGGCCGATGCGCTATCCACTGAGCCCAACTGGTTTCGGCGAGAGATTTAGAAATATTAATGAGAGAGAAACATCGATCAGCTGCCTCCTGCACACTCCCCACTGGTACATGCCCTTGACCAGAATCGAACCTGGGACCCTTCAGTCTGCAGGCCGACGCTCTATCCACTGAGCTGCACCGGTCAGGGCTCACCAAATATTACTGAGCCACTGCATATGGTGGGGGCACGGTGGTGACCAGCAGCCTTGTCCCTGTCCTCTGGGGCTCACAGCGCAGGGGGGGCGGGGGACGTGGGGGACAGCCATCACCAGACGAGAAAACCCAGACGGGGCAGGGCTGGGATACAGGGTTTGACTCAGCCAGGGGGTGAAGGAGGACTTCCTGGAGGAGGGGACCCCACCACGGAGACTTGGAGGATGGAGATGGCCTGGGTCTCCTTCAGGGCCCGAGCGGAGAGTGTAATGCACGCCTGCTGTGTGCACGCCAAGGCCCAGCCAGGTCCTTATCTTGGGCAGCCCACCAGGGAAGACCTACCCGCCCCAGGCCGGGGTCCCGCCCCGCCCACTCCTGGCGGTGTGACCTGGCACAAGGGGCTTGGCGTCCTCCTGGCATTCCCGGGGCCCAGCCCCCAAGGTTCACGCGTGCAGATTCTCCTGAGATCACCAGGTCCAAAGTCCTGGGCACCATCCCTTTCCGTCTGCTGCTCCTTTCCAAAGGCGCAACCCCACCCTGTCCCACAGCCCCTGCCCCACAGGAAAGAGCGCTCAGGTTTCTCTAAAGCATTTTTATTGCTGCTGGTGGTGGGAGGGAACATGGGGCACAGTGGAGGCGGGGTGTGTGTGTGTGTGTGTGTGTGTGTGTGTGTGAGAGCCCCCTCCTGGGTGCAGCCGCCCTCCTGGCGTTCAGTTGAATGTTCTTTTAATTGCCTCCTTTGCTGTGCGGAATGGTTCCTTAATCCAGGACCTGTAGGGAGAGACGGGGTGGGGGTGGGGTGGGGGTGGAGGAGGGTGGGGAGAGGGGAGAGGGGGAGATGTCACTGTGTCTTGCCTCCTGGGATGTCCCCCCCCCCCCGGATGAGGAAGAGCCCTGGGCTGAATGGCCCAATTTCTGTGCCTCAGTTTCCCAGCTGCACCAGAGCTCTTTAAAGTCAGAGCACTTAGCCTCGGCCTGGCTTTCAGGGCCTGCCGTCTCTTGATTCTTGCATGTGTCCTGACCCGGGATCGAACCCCCAACCTCGGCGTACCCTGAGGACGAAGTTCCACCAGCCGAGCCACCCAGCCAGGGGCCGGACCTCAATTGAAAGTGTTCTCTCTTCCGAGAAGGCCCAGCCCCCCAGTCGGCAAAAGCCCCTCCCAGCCTATGATTGTTTGCACACACCCCGTTTCCGTCCTCAGTGCGGGCCGTGTCTGCGCAGATTCTGGGAATTCACCGATTTCGTGTTTGTTCCCCAGCCTCAGCCCGCCCCCAGAAGGTCAGAGCTCCGAGGGCTGGGATTTTGCCTGGTTGCTCACTATTACTCCCCACGCTGCAATAGTTCCTGGTGCTTAGCTGCTGCTCAACAGACATTTGTTCAGGAATAAGTGATTCTCACCAAAACACCTCTGTGAGGGCTCCCGTGGCCTTCCCCTCGGAGCCACCCATTTCACAGATGAGAAAACTGAGGCTTGTGCTCACACAGTGAGTCTCGGCCAACCTGTGGTCCCAGATCCGTCCAACCCCCCAAGCTTGGATCCTTCACCACCCTCTCTCCAGTCCGGCCGGCGGGGAGAGTCAGGAAACCGGCCCCCCATGTCTGAGCACCCTGAGGTCCAGCTGTGTGACCGCAGGGATCTCGTCGCTTTTCCCAGTCTGTTCATGGATCCCCCCGCCCGCCCGCCCGCCCCCGGGGAAGGGTCCTCACCAGGTGTCCGGGTCTTTGATTTTGTCAAGGGCTGCCGAGACCTTCTCCTTCACCGTCGTCCCAAACGTCCTCAGGTTTTCCTGGATGCTGGAGTTGGCCTGGGCCGGAGCTGGGCCTGCCGGGAGAGAGGGTGAGCTTCCAGGGACAGAAAGAGACCCGTGGGTGTGATTCTTGGGGATCGTGGGGTTAGGATGAGCGGGGAGGGACCAGCTGGCGTTCGAGGACGGCCACCTGTGAGAGGACCCACCTGGCCGCGTGGTAGTGGGGTGATCAGTGGGCTCCGGAGGGGCCCCAGAGCTCTCAAGGGTCCTCTAATCCTGGATCCCAGGCCCTTGGCAGCTTCGTGCTCCCCAATCCCAATCCCAATCCCAAGCCCCGGATTCTCCCACTTTTACCTTCCAAAACCATCAGCAGAGCCACCGCCAGGACCGAGAGCGACAGGAGGAGCTTCATGGCTGGGCCGGAGGGCACTCTGGAGGGAGAGGTGGGTGATCAGGGGCGCCCCTCCCCCTCCCCCCAGGTTCTCCCCCCCGTTTCCCGGTGCCCTCGGTGTGTGGAGGGTCTCTCTGGGGCACCGAGCACCAACCTGATGCAGTTGTTGGACTGCAAGGGTAGCAGGTCCCAGGCTGGTCTGGCCTTTATGGTCCGGGGAGGGGGCGGGGCAGCGCCTCTCCCTCCCCCTGGGCCTCCCCTGGAGCCCGCCTCCCTGTGCCAACACCTTGTCCTGTACGCCCCGTGCACCCCTGGCTGGTGGGGATGAGTGCCGGGTGGGACATGGGCAAGTCCCTCAGCCTGAAGCCTCCCGCTGCGCACGACCCTTCCCTCCTGATCTCCCTGAGTGTGGGGACCTCAGGGGCTTCCGGACGCTCCCCTCCTGCTTCACCCCACCTCCCAGCCTCAGAGGGCCCCCCAGTAACTGCTACTGAGTCACCCCACTCACCCGGCCGCTCTCCCTCCCATCGCCTCCCTCTTCTGAGCCTCTTCAGCTCAAACAACTCTTGCTCTATGTCTGCGGGGTCCACCCACGCCCCCTCCATTCACACTAGCCCAGTGGCTCCCAACCTTTCTTTGGCCACACCCAACCGAAGCACCCTAAAATCCTGATGCCCCCCTGTGACATATCCTTTTTCTGTTTTTTCCTAGCATGAAACATTTTTACTTTATGAAGTTCAGTGTTCTGGCATATATATAAGCAAAACCACCTTTCCATATACTTATTATTATTCAAAAATTGAGCTCCTGTCGAAACCGGTTTGGCTCAGTGGATAGAGCGTCGGCCTGCGGACTAAAAGGTCCAGGGTTCGATTCCAGTCAAGGGCATGTACCCTGGTTGTGGGCACATCCCCAGCAAGGGGTGTGCAAGAGGCAGCTGGTCGATGATTCTCTCTCCTCGGTGTTTCTAACTCTCTATCCCTCTCTCTTCCTCTCTGTAAAAAAATCAATAAAATATATATATATTTTTAAAAAGTGAGCTCCTATTCCCAGGGAGGGAGCCTAAAAGGCCATGAACTTGGTCTAAACAAGCTTCCAAGAACATGGCATCCATGAAAAGAGAAAAATGAAAGAACGAAAGGACAGTTGAAGGACTGAGGAAGACGTCACAAAGCAGTTGTTTAAAAAAAATAATAATATGAAGGGATATGAAAAAATAGCAAATAAAGTTTCAAAACATATAACAGAGAACTGAACTGCGAAAATATGCCACGATATATACCTGTAACCGTACACGAGGCCCCTCGCACCATAAGAAATGCAAAGAGCTCACTGTTAATAAGAACTCGTCTTCGAATCGCCCCCCTAAAAAAGCAAATCGCCTCCCCTGGGGGGTGTGAGGGAACCACTGCACCAGCCCTTCAAGCTCCCCAGCGCCTGGCATCTGACACAGCTCAGGCTTCCCGGGGGCCTAACTCCTCAGACCCCAGCCCCGCTCTTGGGGCGGGGCCTGCTCAGTCTCTCTAACGGGCGCCAGGCTCCCGGGCCTCCATCACCCGCCAGCGCCACGCCTCCCGGGGCCCCTGGAAACACTCCACTGCTCTTCTTCACCCTCGGGGGTCCCCCCGCCCCCACCCCAGCTCTACACCTGCCCCCCAAGGCTGGAGTCCAGTGCTGCCTCCCTTCTCAGCCGCCTTTGACCGTCCGTGACCCCTGGCAGCTCCGGGGAGGGTGGCCCCGGGCCCCAGGCTCTAGGTTGGCTGGCCTTGTGCCCCCACAACCACGTGTCAGCCCGGAGGGGGCGGTGAGGGGGATGGTTGTGAAAGGGACGCAGAGCCGGATCCTGGCAAGATTGCAACACGCCTCTGGCCAGCTCAGCAGCTTCCCGCCTGTCAGCCCCCGCCGAGCCGTCTCCCGGCCCCTGCTTTCCTCGTGGGCCAGCGTCCCCGGGCACCCACCCGCTGCCTGCCCTCCGGTCTGGCCCCGAGAGAAAGCTCTGCGTCTTCAGTCTCCTCCTCACCCCGACTACAGGGACATCCGCTTACAGTGGGGAAACTGAGGCTCAGCCAAGAGCATTCAGAGGCGCAGTGAGGGGCTGAGTGTGGGGTGCTCTTTGACCCCCCCCCTTCCCAGACTCCAAGCTGTCTCTCCAGATCCTCGCTGGGGTCAGCCCCCCGCTCAGTGCCCGCAGCACCCTTTGCCAGCCCTTGTCCCACCTCGTTTTTAAACTTTTTAATTGATTTTTAAATTATATATGTGTATATATATAAATATTATTGATTTTGGAGAGGAAGGGAGAGGGATAGAGACAGAAACATATCGGCTGCCCCCCACCAGTGATGGAGCCCGCCCTGATCAGGAATGGATTCAGGACTCTCGATTCCTGGGTCGACACTCACTGAACCGCACTGGCTGGGCTGTCCCACCTCCTAGAACTGCCTGGGGCTGCAGTGAGTGGGAACCCTCTCTGCTCAGGTGTGTTCATGCAGGGGAACTCAAAATTCCTCTCTTCAGATGGGAGACTGACGTGTCCGCCCCCACTGCCACCTGGGGAAACGGAGGCCCTGAGAGGCTTTGGCCCAGCTCCAGGCTTGGCTCGGAGGAGGCCCGGCCTTTGAGCCCACTGCCCCTTCCCCTCCTCCATCAGCCCTGGGTGAGTGGACAGGCAGGCCCGCCGCCTGGCGTCTGTCGCGGAGCCGGCTCCCGCTCTGGAGCCGGCGTGGGAGAGAGCACCGCGGCTCCAACTCACCCGCAGCCCCGGGGCCACGGGCTGTGCAGACCCTCCCGGGGCCCCTCCCTCCTCCCTCCAGCCAGGACCCCGCAGGCAGCCGGAGGGGAGTAATGAGATGAGGGCTGGGGACAGGAAGCACAGCTCAGAGTGAGGGACTCGTGAACCAGACGGAAGGAGAGGGGCAGAGGGCTGGAGTGAAACAGAATGGCGGAGCAAAGAGCCTCACCGGGGAAGATGGGGGAGGGAGGAACTGGGCTGGGGCAAGAGAAACAGGTGGGGAGAGAAAATAGAGGGGGAGGGACACAGGAAGCTGAAAAATGAGGCCTCTCAGTTACACAGGGGCCAGGAGGGGCCGGGAGGGGCCGGGAGGGGCCAGGAGGCAGAACCAGGTGAGGTTGGCTGGAGAAAGGGGAGAGACAATAAGGGGGGTAAAGATGGCTTAATAGTAAGGTGACCAGACATCCCGATTTTTTTTTTTTTAAAGAGGATTTCTTTCTTTCTTTTCTTTTTAAAATATATTTTATTGATTTTTTACAGAGAGGAAGGGAGAGGGATAGAAAGCCAGAAACATCAATGAGAGACAAACAGCAGCCAGCTGCCTCCTGCACACCCCCTACCGGCGATGTGCCCACAGACAATGTACACGCCCCTGACCGGAATCGAACCTGGGACCCCTGTCTGCAGACCAACACTCTATCCACGGGGCCGAACCGGTTTCGGCAGACATCCCGATTCTTTCACAATTTGACCCGCGTCCTGAGGCGTTTTTAAAAAGTCCCGATCAGGACGGTCCGGCCGAGAGCGGGGCGTCGGGTCACCGTATGAACAGTGGCAGTGGTCTCGGGTCTCCTGAGTCCCGGCAGCTCTAAGAAGCAGGTGTGAGGAGGCTGGGCAGACCTGGGCTCAGGGCAGGCTGGACCCCAGGGGAGGGCTTGTTCCAGAACCCGTGTCTCAGGGACAGAATGCAAAGGGGCCGAGGAGAGAGAGAGAGAGAGGGCGGCAGAGACAGGAAGGGGAAAACCCCAGAGAGGCACAGGAGGACACAGACAGAGCCAAAGCGGAGACAAAGACACGGACAGACACACGTTCAGAGGGGACGGGACCGTGTGGGGAAGGAGAAACTGAGGCCGGGGCTGTAAGAAATCACTCAGATGCCTGCAGATGTGAAGCTTGTGAGCCTTTATTAAGCCAGGGCCCCAGGGGGGCGGAGGGGGCAGGGACGGGACCCCGCGGGCTGGGAGAGGGGCTTGGGGCCCACGGGGCGCGCGGCGGCGCTCAGTGATTCTCCACGGGCAGCGCCGTGGGACTGGGGCCCAGGGCCGACTGCACCTTCTCCACCAGCCCGGCCCACTGGCGCTGCATGTCTTGCACCAGCGGCTCGAACCAGCCCTTGAGGCGGGCCTGGAAGGCCTCGGCCTGCAGGCGCATCTGGTTGGCCTGCTCCTCCACCTTGGCCTGCAGCCCCTCCATCTGGTCGCGCATGTCGTCGAGGCGGTCGCGGGCGCGGGTGCCCATGGCATCCAGCTTCTCGCGCATCCGCTGGCTCCAGGCCTCCGCCCGCTCCCGCAGCGGCTGGCCCACGGTGAAGGCGCGCTGCTGCAGCGGCAGGAGGTGCTCGCGGAGGACGCCCACGCCGCGCTCCGCGCCCTCGCGCGCCCCGACCCGGTAGAGCGCCAGGCGCTTCTGCAGGTCCTCGGCGTCGCGGAGCAGCCGCTTGCGCAGCTTGCGCAGCTGGGAGGTCAGGCGGCTCCGCAGCTCGTCGGAGTTCTGGCCCACCATGGTCTTCACCTCGTTGCGGTACTGGGTCAGGCGGGTGTGCACGTCCTGCATGTCCGACTCCAGGCGGGCCTGCGCCGCCTGCAGCTCCTTGGACAGGCGGGTGTGCGTCTCCTGGGTCATGGGGCCCAGCTGCGCCTCCAGCTCCTCCTTGTAGGCCTTCACCTCCCTCATGGTCTCCTCCATCAGCATCCTGCAGGCGGAGAGGGCGCCAGGGGGTGTGTGCGGAGAGAAGAAGAGGAAAGGTGGGTGGGGGAGGGCAAGAAGGGCGCAGAGACAGAGTCAGAGTCAGAGACAGAGACACCCAAAAGAGGGAGAGGCCAAGAGGAGGGGACAGAGACAGCCAGGAGCAGAGAGGAGCAGACGGGCTAGAATGATGTTGGGCGGCAGGAGGGAACATCAGGGACAGGAAGAGATGAGGAGGATCAGAGAGCCGACGCTGAGAATTCAAAATGGCAAGCGGAAGCAAGCAATGAGCAGACCCCCGAGGAGCTCCAGACGGGAGCTGCCCGCCAGGAGGCCGGGGCGGGGGCGGGACACTCACGACAGTTCCTGGGAGACCTGGGCGCTGAGCAGCTCCTCCTGCATCTTGTTAGACAGCGTCTGCACCCAGCGCAGGTAGTCCCAGAAGCGGCCCA